TATGCAGATCCCATGGTGTAAGTTACTATGCAAGTATGCCTTATTTAAAAATTAATGGAAATATTTGACATTTTGTTTCTATTTTACGAAGATACGTTCATAAGAACTTTAGATGTATTTTAGTTCTTGATGAGAAAAAATTAGCGACTGCTGATCCACCATTGCTCAATAGATTTGAAAAACAAAGGATGACAGTCGATGATCTCCTTACCGATAATCATCAAAAAGTGGTTAAAATTTTAAACACATGGACACAACAAATGGTTTCTATGGTAGAAACGGACAGAGTTAATCTGTCACAAATCTCTTTTACACAAAAAGATCTTTTTATTGGTTTTGATGAAAATGAAACTTTACAAAGTTTAGTATATGACATCATGGCTAAATTTCCTGAAGATAATGAAGAAGTAATAATTAAACGATGTAAAGCAGCTTTAATTGACATTGCATCTTCCGATGGAATTATTAGGGCTACAAAATCAAATGTAGATCCTGGTGAAATTAATCTATGGAACAATGTTTATTTCCGCAACTTCAAAGACGAACATATTCCACCACAGAATCATGATAGTCTTAGTACATTTTTTGGACAGCTTGTGTATGCAGACATGGAAGTATCAAGATTTATTATTAATACGTTTTCCAACATTAATACAGATGCTGCTGAGTGTTTAAATGATCTTATCACATGCCAAGTTGATAAATTATCAACATTTAAGACGGAGGCTCAACTTCAGAATCGAATTAAACGGTTTTGGGAGGAATCAAATGAACAAATGCTAGTTCTTCAATGCGATGTTACTACCGTAAATGCTGGGTGTATTAAGTTGGCAAAATTCATCATTGAGCAATTTCAGGATGAATTTTTGAGAAAAAATCCAAATCAAACTAAATATGTTTGTATTATTCTCCACATCCAACGAGATCAAAATTATATGTCTTCGTTTAATTTCATGTGCGGATGGAAACAAGTTACAATCGAGACTCTAACATCACAAGAGAAGCATCTGTCAACTATCTTAAAAGGTTCTTTAGCTGATATTATTAATAACGAATACAAATTTGAGGAAATTTTAAAGCATGAGCTGCTGTGGTGTTTGTTATGTATAAAGTATCCGTCTACTTCGAAATCAGTCGATCACATAAGGTGAGTTTATTTTTTTTTCGTGATATTATAAATTCGATATATAATAATAATTATTATTTTTATAGAACTTTGAAAACAGACATAATCAGGAGTTCTCTTCTTATTGAATACTTAAAA